TCCCAGGTACCGATATCGAAATGATAGCAACCAATTCGATGAAGGAAAATGACTGCTCTGTCAGGATCTACAGTGCGGCATGTCCAAAGACCAACACGCCTATAGCAGTCTGTCCCATCAACGCCGGGGTGGAAACAGAGTCATACTCCGAGCAATACATAACTGCGCTGTTCGGCTCAATGCACGAGGTGCATTATGTTCGCTTGAGCTTCGAAGAACTATCGATGGATGCGTTTGTGGCTCGCATCGAAGCAACGATGGACGGTGGCGCGTTCATCGATGTGCAAAACGTAAGTTCATGTGATTTATTCGATCTCAGTTCGACTCTGATGAGGGGGATGTTTCAACTTCTTCATTCTAAATGGTGAGTGGATTGGCTAAATTTAGTTAAACTCTTAACTGTCAGAAGCCTATCACTCCAAATGTGTGTGTTGTGTTCGCGCACATTGTTAAGCTGCTGAGGGTGACCATTGAGGCAGTTGTTCTATCGTTTCTTAGAGAAACATTGAGCGCAGACGCATTCAAATCATCCTCAGTAGCCATTAGGCTAGCAGTGATCTCGCAGTCAAGCATCTATCTATACACATGTCGTCATGTGGTTAATCTTTCTTGAAGAAATGGTTTTGAACAAATACTTTATTTCTTTTTGCATCATCTCAGGCCAATTTCATTCGACAACACGACCAGGCATACATTTTTGCATTTGACGGGCCGATTTCGAGCAGAGGGCTACGTATAGTGCCTGCAAGATCAGTCGTTTTACGGAGAAATGTGCCTCATTCTGTTCAAATCTTTGGAGTTTCAATCGCTCGCGATTTGCACACATTCGGTATGTTGAATAGACGGCGTGTTCTATTCCCGAGTCCCCTTTCAAACTAACAATAAACATAGTTCCATGAATAAACGGACACAATTCCACTCGCTTGCTTAGAATATATCGATGACGAAGATAGATGCAATACCCGAAGCTGATTGGACGTTATAGCGTACTGCATTACTATACCCATTGTGTTTTCATTTTTTCTTAGATCCATGTCTGGCCTACTTCCCGTTCAACTATCCATTTTTGCCAAGGCTTCCGACCGATATGCTTCACTTCAATCGGTCATATCTTGCCGTGGGTGAAAAACTGGTCCTCTGCTACCTGTGGGTTTCTCCAGTTGAAAGCAGTAAAACAAAAATGAAATGTCTTTGTGCCACAGAAAAACCAGAGCCGACTTTTATCCGTAAGCATTCAAACTTGTCACTTGAGACCTAATTTTTCAATACTCATTAAAGTTTGGTTTAATTTAATCGACCTATGTTACATTACTTTTCAGTCCTTGGTCCTATGGTTTCGCAGGTACTGTCATACCAACATGAAGAAAACCTGTTTTTCGGGCTCGGGCCGGAGAGAATGAGTATTGTGAAGTCCCATAATCTGCAGTGGCCCTGGATTGGAATAAACCTGTACAGATATCAGATAGACGGGCTTGACAAAGGAGTCACCCGGGCTACATATCTACCTTGGGAAGCCACGGAGGACTTTAATCCTTATGTGACGGGTTCAAAATGCAAACGATACTCTCATGGAAATTGGCATCGTGAGTCCATCAATGTGCAAACGTTGGATGAGACTATTAACTGAGGGTTGATATGAATTTGGACGATTCCAAACTGTTCTTTTCGAATTAACATTGCGAATTGTATATTTCAAGTGAAGGGGAAGACCTTGGTAAATATTCTTTCTTACACTGGTTAGCAATATATCTGATGCGAAAACGCAATCAATTCTTCAGCATATAAATTTATTTCATTCTGCACAACTTGTTATTCAACATTAAACATTTCCCCGCTCAAATGTCATTTCTCTGCTATATTTCTGTCACTCACAGTTTGTTTCGATGGGATTTACCTTGGTGAAGAATTGGTTGCCGGTTGGAGTGCTCCTGGTTAATAGGACGAACGGGACTGATCCAATGTCATCGCATATCATCTGTATGCATCAGCGCCGGCATACCACGAACTATCAGTTGTCTGCCCAAAACAGTTAAACAAATTTGTATGATGATTATTTGATTTCTTCTATTTGTGCGTGTTGATTTTTCGCGAGATTTTCGCCAAGTGACCGCCCAATACCCTATTTCTGTTGTAAAAGACACCCTAAGTTTCTTGTGTAATAATACAATCTAGGATAGTCTGTGTATACGCATATCTTTTTTCGAAATGTGTCTCGCAAAAATGCAGTCCAATTTTTTCATTACTGATCCCATTGCTACTCACTGATGACAAGAATTGAAACGGAGTAAAGTTTGAGCTACTTCGTGGAACACTTTGATTTTCACGCTGCACACGGCAACGGTTATGTCATTGGTCAAACAGCTGAGGTGTGAGTGTTCCTTTCACCGACGAGTGTCTTATTCCTAACCAATATCTTCATCCTTGAGAGTATAAGGTCGATCTAATCCTTTTGTAATCTTTGTAAGTGGCCGATCGACGAAGGTAATTTACGACCATTTCGTGTGGCATCGTTCGTGAATCCCCTTCGATTGGAATGCAAACATTGCTTGTTCTGGTTAACCAAGACAACCTCCTATGGAAGTTTGAGAAGAAAATCAGGTGTACCCATTTAATGCCCAAACCTGTACTGCGAGATAGACAGGAGTCTTTGTGTGTGCTTGGAAAGTGGTAGCACAGCGTGTTTGTGTGCAACAATAAACTTCGTGCAGCTGAACAACACCTCTATCGCCTTGACAAATTTCATCCTGTGTCAGGGTTGACTATGTTCATTTTTAACAAACCATAACGGTGCATCTCTGTGCGAGTGCTTTCGGTTACTCTCATAAGGTTATCCATTTGGAACAGTAACTTGAAGATAGATTGCAATGGTCCAAGCATAATGAGATGGAAAATAGAGAGTTTACCAAGGCTGAAGTTCGAACGCTTCAGTTGCCAAGTCCCTGCACAGTTCTACCGAAATACCACAGAAGATGATCGACCCCTGATCGACAGTTGGAATTCGCGACAGCACCACACATATCTCAAGTTAGTAGATGAAGAGGAGACTTCTGTATGCATGCCAATGCATCATCAAGCCATCAGATTGGTCACGTTGCCCTCCCTGAAAATCAACAAAAGAAAGTAGAAATGAAAACAAATGACAGCTGAAGGTCTGGCTGTATGATCCCATATCAATGTAGTAGAGATTCAGAATACGTTGGTGTTTTGATTGAAATGTGGAAGGCTTGTTTGGTTGACATTTATTGATGATTTAGTCATTCTAATGGTGGTTGAACTGAGAGGAGATGAGAGAGCTCAACATGGAAAGCACATTTGCAAATGTTGCCT